GATCTGGGAGACCCAGGGTCAGGCCTTTGGGAAAGCAAGGGGAGAGTGGTAGAATTGACTCAGCATTCAAAATCCTGGAAGCTGTGCCTGACTCTGGGCTTGGTCTGGGAATAGAGTCCCTTCTGATAATCCTGAATCAGGCTCTTTATGCCCTTTCCTAGAAGAAACTACTTGTGCCTAGGACTTTGGGATCTAGAAAAGCACTTGGAGATGCTCAGAAAATCACAATGAGAGGGGAGGTTTGGAGATGGGGGAAGAGATACAAGGAGAACATCCCCAGAACGTTTCAGTTGAGATTCATTTAGAGATTTTACACAATCCTTTAGATATTCCTTCAATTTTTGGTCACCCTGGATTTTAGAACTCCAGATCTCCCCTTGTTTTTGGTAAATTGGAATTCATTTAATTTTCTTGCTGCTCACTCATCCGAGAGAAACCAGTCTGTTCTGAACCAGAGTCTCTGACTTCAAAGGCCATTCTAGAAGAAATTGTTCTTGATCTTCTCTTCCTGTTTACTCCCAGACAAGATGACTCTAAGCCTTAAAGATAGTTAACCTTTAGCAGGTCACTCCTGCACTAACCCCACTGCCAGGTTTGTCTCCTTGCCATGCTAGAGCCTCAGCTGCAGCTCCTGGGCTATGGCCCTCTTTGGACAGGTGACCTCTGAGAGTAGTCTGTTGGCTGATGCATCTGACACCTACTCAGGCTAGGGGGATGTGTGTGATTCCTGAGATTCCCACACACCCAAATCTTCCATTATCTTACCTCAGTTATATTCTTGTGCTTTGGCATTGGGGGAGCATATATGACAGAATATTCTGTTCACTTTTGCTTGGGAAATAGAAATAGTGAATTTCATAGAGTTATGTTGCACAGTGGTGGGTCCAAGTTTTCCCAGTATAACTTTCTAACAAATTTGTGTGAACCTAGGTCAATATTCTCACTCTCCTGCACACCAGGGTTTTCTTGGGTAGATGAGAACAGGCAGAAGTTATACTGCTCCCGAGCAGAATAACTCGGGAGCACTATAACTTCTAGTCCCTCTTCTCCACACTGACTGGTCAATGTCCTAGAGGCCTGTAGAGGGAAGCACACTAAATAGGTAATGGGTATTAAGGAGGGCACTTGTTATGTTGACACTTGGGTATTATATGTAAGTGATGAATCACTAAATTTGACACCTGAAACCAATATTACACTATATGTTAACGAATTAGAGCTTAACTTACATTTTGAAAAAGAAAAAAAAAAAAAAAAAAAAAGAAAGCACATGAGCATTTACTGTGACCGCAGTCCTGGAAGTTGGTCGAGAACTGCTGTTAGGGGTGGCTTGCAGCAGCCTTCCATCCCGTACTCATCACTCCAAAACGGGGTGGGCAACAACTGGAACAGGGGAGTGTTAGGCAGTGGGCTGGGGCAATGGAACAGAACTTCAGGGCAAAGCCTCACTGCCTTAGAGACTGAAATCCTGCTGACTCAGTGTAAGAAAAGCCTCAGGAAATAGGGGCTTTTGAGAAGGAGTCTTCTTGAAGAAGTCCATTGTCACTCCTGGCCTCCCCACAATCCATCCACTGTCAAGTTGGTTAGATGACTTAAGCTCCAAAGCAGGGCATGTGGTAGGAGCTGAATCGATGGGAAGTGGTGACCCAGAATCCATGTCTGACCCTGAATTCCCATTTCTTGCTCTGTTAGCACCAACCAGACCTGATCCCTGACCTGACAGCTGAGAGCACCCAGATCAGGATCTCCCTCTGTCTTCACACTGCAGTGCAATTGCAATTCAGTCCTGTTTCTTAGGCATAAAATAAAGACATGGGGCTCTATTGCTTCCATGCCCAACTCCTCCATTTGACCCACTGGGGAAAACGGTACCTTCAAGGCTGCCCACAGTGAGAAAGTCTGAAGGACAGTGAAAGGAGGGAAGTGGGGCTGCTTTGGGTTGAGTATGGGGGGACGGCAAGGGTTTCTGGAGTGAGACCCAGGCATGCAGGGCAGTGATGTGGGGTGGGTCCAGCTACTAGAGGGAGTGCGGTTCTGAGGCAGGGCTGGGTGAAGGGCCGGCCAGGAGAACGAGTCAGCCAGACCCCATGTCCCCTGCTGGCCCGGCAGTGAGGCAGGTTTGCACTGCGTGCAAGGGAAATGGTCATGGAGGAGAAACGTGCCTGGACCTCCGTCACACATGTCCTTTTTTCTGGGTGTGTGGGGCTCAGATGGAGTCCTGTAATAAAGCAAGGCTCCCTCTTGTCGTGGACTCACCTGGGACCAGATGATCCCACCCTCAGGTGTGTTCCCTGCTGAGCAGGGCCAGGGAAAGTGCTTGTCTGAGGTTGGCAGAAATAGTTGAAGGGGATATTGCTCTCTGCAGGGAACTTTCTCTGTGTGAGTGGGGGTGGTGTTCTGCTTTTATTTTCTTTCTCCCTGTATCCTTTGCCCCTTCGCTGCCCTCCTGCAGGGACAAAGTGAGCCCAACCACGGGCTGACTACAAAGGAACCAAATGTGGCCTCAAGTCCATTACCTTCTCCTCTGTCTGCAGAGATAGGACGTGGGTACAGGTTGAGCCTCTGGGCAGGGCGGGAGCAGCAAAGAGCAGGACAGCGAGTTCCCAAACCACCCATCTAGGAAGGGGCAGCAGGCTGGAAAAATAGGAGCCAGGGGTGGAGGGGAGAAGGTGCAGACCCTCAGCCCCAGGAGAGGCCCCAGGGGAGGGCTGGGAACCTAGTTTTGGGGGCTCAGATATGGAGGCGGGGAGGAAAGAATGCCTGGACAGCACATGCTCTCTCTCTGTGGGAGGGAGAGGTGGCCACGGGTGTCCAAGGTCTGTCGGAGGCACACACTAAGATCCTGAGGACAGAAGTGTTGAAAGGCTAAGCAGCCAGCCAAAGCTTCTGGCTGAGTCTGGAAGGCAACTCAGGTGTTAGCCCGTTTAAAGGGATTTACCAGGGCACCAGCTCCTGAATCTCCCACCATTTCTGGGCCTCACATTCAACAGGGAAGACAGGTACACTGATAAAGTCACAATTTTCACAATAAGGAACCAGAATCTCATACGTATCATGTACAACCCTTCTCGGATTGTAAAGGAAAGAAACAGCATGATGTAGTGGAAGGATATGGCTCACCGGGTCCAACCTTGTTCCCTGGGGAATAATACTTCATCTCTAAGTGTACTTGGGCTTCAAGCACACTTGAAGATGAGGTCAACTATTTGTAAGCTATGTGGTTGTTCAGAGAAGTCAAAGAAATCAAGAATGTTTGCCACCAAGTAGGGTCTTACTGACCATTATCATATGTGAATTTATTAAGTCCTAATAACTACAGCTGATATACCTCTGACAGCCCTTGATTTCACCTGTGAGGTCCCAGATCCTAGAGAAATGAGTAACTTGTTTAAGGTCACGTAGCAGGTAGGTAGCACCCTTGGGCCTCCATCCCAGATGTACAGGGAGTACCCTCCTGGCGAAGATTATGTGAGGGATCGTACTTGGGAATAGCATGTGTCTGGCTCTGGGAATAAGTCCACTCAGATAAGTGGGCCCCACACTCACTCTGTCCCCAAGACAGGGGAATCTGCCATTGCCGTCGCCTGTCTTCTCCGTGGTGACCACCAACCACAGGTCATCCCGCAACTTGGTACTAGGGGCTTTTCACCGTTCCCTCGTGTCTCGGGTTAACCACACCAACGATGCATTCACTTTTTCATCAGATAGTCTTGCCTATCTGATAATTGCAAGGCATCCCAGTGCTGAGGAGAAAGCAGCACACACAACACAGGGAAATCTTGCATTCAGGCGCTTTCGTTCTTGAGAGGGGAAAGAGACAAGAAAACATAAATAAGGAAAGTCTTAGAATGACAAAGCGGCTTGAGCATGCCGGAGAAAACGGGAAAGGGACGTGGCAAGTGTGGTAAGGGAGTTTTGCACGTATGTACAAATATTTTCTATTTACATGTGTGTATATTGGAAAGCCTCGGTGACAAAGTGACACTTAGTAGACGAAGGAGGGAGGCACAAATGTGTGGCACCATCTGGAGGAAGTGACGCAAAGGCAGGGGATTGATGGGAAAGCTCATTTCCAACCCACCCTGCTCCCTTCCCCGTCTGTCCCCTTTCTAGTGACTAATCCAAATATGTCTTCCTCTCTGCCCATAATCCCCAGTGTACATCTCTCCCACTGGAATCATTTCCGGTCTTTGTCTCCCTTGAACAAATTAGTGAATAAAGCTGAAGGGAAACTGATCATCTTCACCTCTGCATCCCCCTTTCTTGTGCTGCCCCATCCATCTCTCACAGTGGTGTTAATGCTGGGCGGTCAGACCACATCTGGAGTATCCTGATGGCAGTGACGACTCACTTTGGGAGGGAGGGAGTACCGCTGGAGGTCATGCTGAGGCCAGTGTCTGGATGGTTCTGGTACCTGAAAGGGACTGAGCCACTCCCTCGCAAGGCTCAGGGCCCCCAGGTTTGCTACATGTGAAAGGCTGTCCTGGAACGTGGGCTTAGACATGCTCCGTGTAGGCCAACGAATAGAACGACAAGCGAAGTGAAGAGGTACTAGGGAGAGAGATTCTACACGAACGTTAGTCAGTTCCTTATGCTAGATCTACTAAAGTGAAGTGAGCTGTCTGGGTGGGCTGAGTTCCAAGTATCTGGAGAAATGCAAATGCAGACAGGATGTACCGTCTCCTGGGAACGTGGTAGAGAGGATTCAGGTGGCTCGATCTGAAATCATGTGATCTAGTGGGATGCCTGAGGGCAGGTGATGGGAATAAATAAAGCTGGGACGTCTCACTGGGACCATCTTAGGAATGGGCCCCGGGATGTTCCAGTTGCTTCTGCTGGGCATATTCACAGTGCTCTTCATGGATGAAGGTAAAACCTGTGAGGGAGGCAGTGATGGGTGGTGAGAGGCTATATGGGGAGGAAACCGAGGTGGTTTCTCAACTTGACTCTTGAGCTAGTGTAAAATGGCTGATAGAGAATTTTTCTTCTTCTCTTCATAGGAGACAGAGTCCTGACATCAAAAGGTATGGTGTAGTTGGTTTGCAGTTTTTGGATAAATAATGGCACAATGAGAGGGGACATTCCTGATTTTTTCACAGATTTTCTACCATCCCTGACTATATTCCACTCTCTGCACTCAGTGCTCTAATGTCTTCTTTATGCCCCCAGACTTCGGTGAAGGGGAGAGGAGTCTTGAATCCTTGGAGTCATAGCTGTCACCCACTCAGGGGAGTAAGGACCCCTGGCAGAAGTTGGGAAGGGTGTCAGCTTCCTTCTTTGACATCTATACCTCACCAGTGTAAATGTTGACAGGAGAGGTAGCAGAATTACTTTCCCTAGAGCTCTGCTTTAAATCTTTTCTCTCTTTAGGGATTCGGTTTTGCTATCACTGTGACTTCTTTGATGGATTCAAATGCCTCACTCACTTGAAAAAGTGCTGGAAGTTCAATCTAATGATATATAACAGGAGTTGTACCATAGATCACTATTACTATAATGATAAAATTACAGGTAAGTGAGAGGGAGAGAGAGACACAAGACAATTACCAGTGGTGCCCACCTTCCTTGAGGTCAAGGTGTGGAGGGAACAGGGACCATGAGAGAGGCTGGGAAAATGGAATTCTCCATACCCCGACCTTGGGTGGAGCCTGTGTGGGAGGCAGATGTCTTTTGCCTGATCCTGTCTAGAGAGACCGAGATGAGATGCAGGCACAGTTTGGGGCTCATCCGTGGCTACAGAAAACCAATGAGATTTTTGAGAGCCATCATTGCCAGGGAAACAGTGTGATTAAGTAAGGCAATTACCTTTACTTTTCTTCTCTCTTTAGGGAGATATCTGTACCGATATACAAAACTGTCTTGTAATCCTTGTGAAGAGGGAATGTTCCAAATATACCATGACTTACTGAGAGAAACATTTTGCTGCAATCATGCTGACTTGTGTAATAATGGCAATATAAATATGGATACTACAGTGAAATTTGGAAAAGGGATAGATTTGATGGCTGAAAAGTCATGAGGTAAATCAAGATAAACATGTGCTTAAGATTTTAAAACTATATGGGAATACACATCTTCTTAAATAATACTCTCCCCCTGAACTAGAAAAAGAGATAATATAGGGGCTGGCTTAGTCAGAAGAACATGGGGCTCTGGAGTTTTGGTTATGAGTTCAAACCCACATTGTATGTAGAGATTACATAAACAAACAAACAAACAAACAAACAAACAAAAAAGAGAGAGAAAAAAAGAGATAGTATAAATGGAAACAGACCATAAAGTAGAAAAGATACACACAAACACACACACCATAAAACAACCTGACTGCACTGACTAAACATATCGGCCAAATTAATTTAAAAAAAGATCTTAGTTTGGTAAACAGAGCAAAATCCAACTCTATGATGTTTCAGAAATATGGCCAAATAGTCAGCATTGGTGGTATAGTGGTGAGCATAGCTGCCTTCCAGAAATATGGCCAAATCAAAGCAATTAAAAATGTGCAAATATAAATGCATGGGAAAATATATATTAAAAATTAATATGGATCATGAGCCTATATTTTATGCTCCAGATCATCAAAAGAGAGAATATATACTTCATGTTATTAAAGCCACTAATCTACAATAAAGATATAAATTATTAAAATTGAGGCAGCCAATACCACAGCCATGACTTTTGGTAACAACTCTTCTATAGAAATTATAGAAGATATGATGAGAAAAAGAAATGCGTGCTAATCACCAGATCATGTGGGTAAATAATTAGCAAGGAGATTAAACACATATACAATACCATTATTAAGGTGGATCTTATAAACCTACATCTAATCCTGAACTCAGATAATAGAGTGCCCATGGAACATTCACAAAGATTGGTCACATATATTAGCCCTTTGGAGGATAGAGTTGATTTACATCTGAACTGTAAAAGGCTATATTTTTCTCAGTGGATGCTTGGACTTTTGGCCAGGATAAAAATACATTTATGATGTTCTCTTTAAAGTCTGAAACTCCCCCGGTAAATCCCAGTGTCATTTTATTTGCTAATATAAATAAACTGTTTCCCAACATGGCTTGATCACATGGTCAGAGAGGCATTATAACCACACCCCACCCTACCAACCACATGCACCCTCATTAAGAACTTCTGTTTAAATTACTCCTGAAGCTGAGATCCCTCACATAAATTGTGATTGTTCAATCCAGTGACAGAGGGCAATCTGTATGTATGTAAATGATGAGTCCTGGGAGCTTGCACATGGAATGTCTCCCAGATTTCCCTAAAGTTTGTCTGCCCTCTCTTTTTTTTGCTGCACTGTATCCTTTGTCTTTAAATAAAGTCTGTATTCAGTATGCTTTCTAACTATGTTCTTAGAGAATATGTATGTTCTATGAAGTCTGATGAGTTCTTTCAAATATCTAAACTTGGGAAATCTTTGCAAGTCCTCAAAGAAATACTCAAATTCCAAGAAATAGAAATAATATAACAATATTCACTTACCACACGCAATAAAGTGGAAGCTGAAAACAAGACCAAAAATGTGTCACCGCCTGGAAATATAGAAACATGTTATTAAGCAACTCTTATGTTGAAAGGAAAATCTAGGACGCACACACAAAAATGCAGAATTTCTTAACAGAAAACATGATATATCAAAAACTATGGAATACAGCAGTAGCATTTATCAGAGGAAAATTCATAGCATTAAATACACATAAAATTTTAAAAGTAAGAAATTAATTAAACATGCAACTCAAAGTAGCAGACCAAGAACAAAGTAAATAGAAAAGAGAAAGAACCGTCAATAAATAAAAACAGAAATCTAAGAGGTAGTGTATTTGTTTCATATGGCTGTGTTACTTTCTGTGCTTTGTGCCATAGACTTAGTGGCTTAAACACACACATTATCTCACAGTTTCTATAGGTCAGAAGTCCAGACATCGCTTAGCTGGGTCCTCAGCTCAGAATCTCACAAGGCTGCAGTCAAGGGGTAGACCAGGCCATGTTCTCATTTGAAGACTTAATTTAGGAAGAATCTACTTCTAAACTCTTGGCTTGTTGGTAGAATTCATCTCTTTGTAGTGTGTCTGGGCTGCAGGGCTGGTTCAATATTCACAAATGAATCGATGTGATGCATCACATTAATAGAAGAAAGGATAAGAACTATATGATCCTGTCAATAGATGCAGAAAGAGCATTTGATAAAATACAGCATCCTTCATAAAACCCTCAAGAAAGTCAGGATAGAAGGAACATACCTTAACATCATAAAAGCCATATATGAAAAGCCCACAGCTAGTATCATTCTTAATGGAGAAAAACTGAGAGCTTTCCCCCTGAGATCAGGAACACAACAGGGATGTCCACTCTCACCACTGTTGTTTAATATAGTGTTGGAAGTCCTAGCCTCAGCAATCAGACAACAAAATGAAATAAAAGGCATCCAAATTGGCAAAGAAATCAAACTTTCACTTTTTGCAGATGACATGATGCTCTACATGGAAAACCGGAAAGACTCCACCAAAAAGCTGCTAGAACTGACACATTAACTCAGCAGAGTCGCAGGATACAAAATCAATGTACAGAAATGGGTTGCATTTCTATACACCAATAATGAAGCAACTGAAAGAAAATCCATCCCATTTACGATTGCACCAAGAACCATAAAATACCTAGGAATAAACCTGACCAAAGATGTAAAAGATCTGTATGCTGAAAACTATAGAAAACTTATGAAAGAAATTGAAGAAGATACAATGAAATGGAAAAATACTCCATGCTCATGGATTGGAAGAATAAATATTGTTCAAATGTCAATACTACCCAAAGCAATCTACACATTCAGTGCAATCTCAATCAAAATTGCACCTGCATTCTTCTCAAAGCTAGAACAAACAATCCCAAAATTTGTATGGAACCAGAAAAGACCCCGAAAAGCCAAAGTAATGTTGAAAAAGAAAACCAAAGCGGGAGGCATCACAATCCCAGACTTTAGCCTGTACTAAAAAGCTGTAATCCTCAAGACAGTATGGTATTGGCACAAAAACAGACACATAGACCAATGGAATAGAAGAGAGAACCCAGAACTGGACCCACAAATGTATGGCCAACTAACCTTTTACAAACAGGAAAGAATATCCAATGGAATAAAGACACTCTCTTTAGCAAATGGTGCTGGGAGAACTGGACAGCAACATGCAGAAGAATGAAACTAGACCCCTTTCTTACACCGTACACAAAAATAAATTCAAAATGGATGAAAGACCTAAGTGTGAGACAGGAAACCATAAAAACCTAGAGGAGAAAACAGGCAACAACCTCTTTGACCTCACGCACAGCAATTTCTTGCTCAACAAGTCTCTGAAGGCAAGGGAAACAAAAGCAAAAATGAACTATTGGGACCTCATCAAGATAAAAAGCTTCTGCACTGCAAAGGAAACCATCAACAAAACTAAAAGACAACTGATGGAATGGGAGAAGATATTTGCAAATGACATATCAGATAAAGGGTTAGTATCCAAAATCTATAAAGAATTTACCAAACTCAACACCCATAAAACAAATAAGCCAGCAAAGAAATGGGCAGCAGACATGAATAGACATTTTCCAAAGAAGACATCCAGATGGCCCACAGACACACGAAAGATGCTCAACATCACTCATTATCAAGAAATACAAATCAAAATCACCTCAAACCAGTCAGAGTGGCTAAAATTAACAACTCAGGAAGCAAGAGATGCTGGCGAGGATGTGGAGAAACGGGAATCCTCTTGCACTGTTGGTGGGAATGCAAACTGGTGCAGCCACTCTGAAAAACAGTATGGAGGTTCCTCAAAAAATTAAAAATAGAACTACCCTATGACCCAGTGATAGCACTACTAGGAATTTATCCAAAGGATACTGGAGTGCTGATTCATAGGGGCACATGTACCCCAATGTTTATAGCAGTGCTTTCAACAATAGCCAAATTATGGAAAGAGCCTAAATGTCTATCAACTGATGAATGGATGAAGAAGATGTGGTTTACATATACAATGGGATACTACTTGGCAATGAGAAAGAATAAAATCCTGCCATTTTCAACAATGTGGATGGAACTGGAGGGTATTATGCTACGTGCAATAAATCACTGAGAGAAAGACAGATATCATATGTTTTCACTCATATGTGGAACTTGAGAAACTTAACAGAAGACCATGGGTGAGGGGAAGAGGGGGGGAAGTTACAGAGAGAGAGGGAGGCAAACCATAAGAGACTCTTAAATACAGAGAACAAATTGAGGGTTGATGGGGGGTGGGGTCAGGGGAGAGGGGGAAATGGGTGATGGGCATTGAGGAGGGCACTTGTTGGTTTGAGTGCTGGGTGTTGTATGTAAACAATCACAGGAATCTATCCCCAAAACCAAGAGCACATTGTGAACACTGTATCTTAGCCAACTTGACAATAAATTATATTAAAAAAAAAAAAGAATTTATCTCTTTGTAGTAGTAGAACTGAGGTTCTGGTTTTCTTTCTGGCTATTGCTTAGGGCCTCTTTCAGTTCCAAGAGGCCATTCATAGTTCTCTGCAACACGGTTATTCCCATAGTCAATTTACAATATGACTGCTTCTTCAAGGCCAGTGGGAAGGTCTCTCTCCTAATTGCTAAGATTGAATCTATATTATATAATGAAACATAATAATATGTATAATATTCCATCACCTTTGGTAATTCTATTGGTTAGAAGCAAGACACAAGTTCTGCTTACGCTCAAGGGGAGAGGGCTATTCAAGGCTGTGACTCACTGGATACATCCCATTCCTTAGGATATGTCTGCCACAGGTAGAAAACAGGAAGTAAGTACAACAAATGAGTTAAAAATTTTATCTAAATAAGCAAATCACAAGTTAACCTGTTACTTAAAAAAGAAAACTGCACAGGATGCCTGGGTGGCTCAGTCGGTTGAGCATCTGACTTCAGCTCAGGTCATGATCTCATGGTTTGTGAGTTCGAGCCCCTCATCAGGCTCTGTGCTAACAGCTCAGAGCCTGGAGCCTGCTTCAGATTCTGTGTCCCCCACCCCCACCCCCCACCCCACCCCTGCTTGTGCTCTTCTGTCTTTCAAAAATGAATAAACATTAAAAAAATTAAAAAAAAGAAGACTGCACAAATACAAATATTAGAGATTGCAAAGGAGAAATAAACATCCAAAACAAGGAAATTTTTAAAAATATGTAAGTTTCATGGGGCACCTTGGTGGCTCAGTCGTTGAAGTGTCTGACTTCAGCTCAGATCATGATCTCACTTTGTGGGTTCAAGCCCCATGTCGGGCTCTCTGCTGACAGCTCAGAGCCTGAAGCCTGCTTCAGATCCTGTGTCTTCCTCTCTTTCTGTCTCTCCCCCATTCATGCTCTATCTCTCTCAAAAACAAATAAACATTAAACAAAATTTTAAAAAAATTAAGTTTCAAACTAATTTGTATAATCCTATGCAAATGAATATAAACATCTAGTTGAAATAAGTAATTTTCTAGGAAAATAGAATTTTTACCAAACTGACCCAAGCAGAATTAGAAAATCTACACAAACTGATTTCTATTTAAAAAAAAAAAATAGATAAAATTATAAAAGAGCTCTTGTCATTTCCCAAAAACGCACTAGATCCACATGGTTTCACAGAAGAATTCCAAAAAAATCTTTAAAAATTAGATGATCCCAATGCTATTTAAACTATTTCAGAGTATAGTGACACCTGGTTGGCCACCTGGGTGGCTCAGTCAGTTGACTCTTGGTTTCAACTCAGGTCATGATCTCATGGTTCATGGGATCAAGCCCTGTGTTGGGCTCTGCGCTGCGCATGCGGCCTGCTTGGGATTCTCTCTCTGCCCGTCTCCCCTGCTTACATGTGCTCTCTTTCAAAATAAATAAATAAGCAAGTAAATAAATAAATAAATAAATAAATAAATAAATAAACAATTTAGAAAGAACTATTTCAGAGTATAGATAAGGAAAGGAGACTTATTCTTTTTATTAAACAAAATAATATTAATCTCCAAATCCAAATGAGATTATGTAATAGAGAGCGTTATAAAAATCTCACTTATAAACATCAATTTAAAAATCTTTGACAAAGTATTAGCAAGCAGATCTCAACGGCAGATAAAAGGATAATATAGAATGAATTATTTCATCTTTGTTGAGTAACAAGCCATTCAAAGACTGAGTGGCTTTAAAACAATAAACAATCATTTTCCTGTGTTTGAGGAATTCAGATAATCCCAATGTGCTCAGCTGAGTAGCTCTGCTAATCTCAATGAACTAGACTCCTATGTCTAGGGGGTATCTGGAAATTTTTTGATTTAGTCACCCCTGGCTAGGGTGACTCAGCTCTGCTCTACATGCTCATTTCCCGCTAG